TCATTTGATGTTAGAATGAGCGATTCATCTGGAAAAGTGACTTAGAAAAAAGGTAGAATCTCTGACGGAGTTTTGTCTTCTTTGTTTCCTTCGCAGACGTTTCTAAGTCAGCTTGCACACGATACAACGAATTAATTCACCAAGCGTCGCTATAATTCTTTGCCTTAGAAAAGAAAACCGCCGTTCGTTAAACACTCGTTAATAACGGTATATGATCGACCTTCTCGGAACGTTTTTCCTTTAGTAACCTTGTTAACAAACACTTTTTGAGCAACTTACCCGGGCCAGCTTTGAAGACCGTTGGTGCTCAAGAACGTTCCAAATCCTGGGTTTGTACTTTTGCCAGCATGACTGCTGCTCGCCTCCAAAATTCTCAGAAATCAACTCGCCGAATTCAGAGTTTAAATCATCCTCATCATCCGTCATCTCTGCCGCTTCGAAGAACTTCAAGTTTTCTTGAGCTTCTCTATGCTGCGTGTAGTAAGTCCAGCAACATGGTTCCATTTGCTTCTCGTCGATCCCCCAAAACAATAACTCGTCTTCAAAAAGCGGCCCGCAAACATCATGAGGACTATGAAGCTTGCCCGTGCGATAATAATTTATTATGGCTGCGAAAACGCCAGGATGTCGGTCAAAGAAATACTCATTCTTTTCCGCGTCATAGAATTCAGAGCTGTTATTCACGTTCTCTGTACACCAGGCAAGACGTGTTCCTGGGAAATTACGAAGAGTGCTTCTAAATGTTTCATGACGGACTCCACCGCAATTAATAACGATTCGATCCGGTCTCGAAGGATTTGGGTGAATCTCTTCTGCTCCGTCCGACATTTTCATTCAGGTTTTCATCGCGTCGAGATAATTTCCAGCGTTCGCCATTTCCCCTGACGTAAATACACACAATGTGCGATGTTATCGTTAGATTTGCTCGAGAGTTCGCTCCCAGCTACAAGAAGCTAACCGCCGCACAGGACACCAAACAAGACCGGTGCTGTAGTTGAACAAGCTCCGTATGGTAATTTCATCTATAAACACACTGCGGCCTATGTTTTCTTCTTGTGAATTAAAATTTGCCGAGTTTTTCTTCGCGTTATCTACACCTGACGAAACTCCGTCTTTATTCGCATTTCGCCATCCAGCCTTTTTTTTTTTTTTCAACGATAGAGAGGAAACTTCCCACTCATCAGTGATTGTTACTCTGTTTTGGTAATGGTTGCTGAGCAGAGCAAAGCTCCGTTTCAGGATAGGTTAGCTCTAGCAATTTGTGGGGCGATATTACAAAGCCATCGCATCCTTCCTTACACCTGCGCTAGCATAAATATTCATGTTGTACTGGGTGATTGCCAATTAGAAGGTTTAATAAAAGCCATCCGTGGACAATGTCCATTGAGTCATTTTATTAATATAAGAGTTCTCTGTCACACGCATGTGTCATTTTTGGACCAATCAGCGTCGAGAATTCTGCAAAACTCGCATCAGTTTCAAAATCTCTCGCTTTTGACTGGTTGAAATTAAAATTAACATCTCCAAAAAGCGAAATGGTGTTATGTAAATTTGCTCATAGAGACGGTCGCAATGGAAAGTAAACAGCAGAGCGAATGACGACAAAACAAAACGAACAATTTGTGAAGGCTTAAAAATTTTAATTCACGTTAATGAAAATTTGAAACCGGAAGATTGCACCTTAAATCTTTGAGAAGAAAACATGTGGCTTATCAGCGAAACAGAAGACTTTTAATCTCATTCGATGTCGCTTTTTCAATCCCGAACCTACATTTTTTTTCTTAGAAATATTCAACGGACAAAAATGCAAGTTCATCGGAAATATAAAAAGATGTTATAGATCTTCGTTACACACCGGACAAGTGATTAATATATTTCGGACTTATTTTCCTGTGAAACTTGGGATCCGCTGTTTGTTGTGACGTAATACTGTGTAACTATACTCTACAACTTGATGACAAATTTTGCAAAGCTATACATGTTATTGTTAGCCCTGATATTCATAATTCAAGCGTTCAGAAATTTGATGCCATCCAGGTGCTGAAATGATGAAAACAAAACCAAAATTCAGGACATGTACGTAAGCACGTACATCTTAGAAACGGTTCTAAAGCGCACTGTTTCCTTTTTTTTTTTTTTACTTTGATAACGAGTGCAAATGATGGCTTAAATACAGATGCTGTATCTTTGGTGGTACCACTTATATACTTTTCCAGAATGACATTGCGTAGTCTCACACTGTTTTAATACTAAGCATTCACTGAACTTGTTCTCACTTCGCTGTCGCCTGAGTGATGAAAATTACTGCAGCCGGAAAACGAAGTCTGCTTTGTCCTAGGTAACCTACTGGGATGCCATCTGTATGTTTTCTCTTTAAATAATTTCGTATCACGAAGGCTATTCAAAGTAAAAAATAAACCGACAGCTTAAACGATTTCAGGCGATGTTTGTCGCTAGGCTCTCAAATGCTAAAAAAAAAAAAAAAAAAAGTTTAGATAGCACGAAAATAAGAGAAAAACTATGATACTTTCTCGATTTTCTCGCTAGTGACTTTGTAAGGTATCTCAAGATTTACATAACATTAACAAAAAAATTTTAACTCCCTATTCTTGTAACTCCCATAAACCAAACCTTCAGGGCTAAAGAGTTTGTTTTTGCCGACAAGATTTTAAAGTCTCCATCGATAATAAATAAAGTCGGCTTTCTCGCCAGGGGGTTCAATTTCCAACGGAAATATATTTCTTCATGGTAATTGTTGTCATGATGGATGTTTTACCAAGCTTCTTTCGTGGGCTGATATCAAAAGTCAGTTTATGAAGGCGCAAAAAGGCTCTAATTTTTTTTCTTTTGAGAATGAAGGACAGCTTAGAGAGCAATTCGGTAGTGATCAACAGTTAGGACGATCACGAAGTGGAAGTACGATTTGTTAATTGCGAGTATGATCACAGAAAGAATTGAACGACACAAAGTCCAGTCACCAATTAATAAACACCATGACAAAATAAGAAAAATTAAGTAACCCACGGTTTAACTTATTCATGAATGAAAAATTAGTTGTTGATTTTTCCAAGACAAGTGAACCTCCAGAAGACACAACAGTGTTGATTGAACTTTTTCCCCCTCCCTCCCCCTCTGCATTCCGTTTTGTAGCCCAGCGCCCGCTCAGACCATTTCGCGATATGTATGGAAAAAAAATTGTAGTTTCTCCAGTTGATATCTGATAACTATTTAAGTCAGGAGCCCATTACAAGTAATGGCTCCTGTTTAAGTTCAAATTTATTTTATTTTATTAATTTTTTTTTTTGGGGGGGGGGTTCAGTTTACCTTGACACTGTTTCTTAAAGGAGCCATCGTAATATTTTCAAATTTATTAAGTTTTAAAATTATTGATATTATTGCCTCTACCTAGATGATACATCCTATTTTACAGTCGTATATTACACAGTGATATTCCTCATGTCACAGTCTCGGTCATATTCCAACTCACTGTCACGGTCACGGTCACACAATCACTGTTACTGTGAAAGTCTCACTATCACACCGTTACATTCTTAGTCATGGTTGCACAGTCAGACTTTCACTCACACACGGAGTTGCAGTTACGGTTGTAATCACATCCACAGTGACAATCACGGTCACGGTCACGGTCACGGTCACATAATCAAAGTCAAAACGTCACTCAGTCACAGATATAGTCACCGTCACAGTGACAATCACCGTTACAGTTTTGGTTATAGTCACGGCCACGACCGCAGCCATAGTCACGTTGTCACAGTCACAGACAGTCGCAGACATACCCACAGTCGCAATTACAGGCTCTGTCACTAAGTCACACAATCACCGTCACAGTCACACAGCCACAGTCACATGGTCTCAGTCAATCGAACTAAGTCAGATTCAGGGTCACAATCAATCTTACAGCCACTCAGCCACAATGACTTTCAGTCACGCAGTCACATTCATTTAGCCAGAGTCACACATTCACTATCACAGTCACAGTCAACAACTGCGCCCAGAGCAGATTACTTTTCAAAACCGCAACCGACTTTAAAAACTTTTCATTGTTGTCATTTAGCTCGTTCTACCACTCTCACAGTGATTTTTTCTGCCGTCATAATTGTCAATCTACCGATCAGTAATTAAATTTTGTAGAAACAAATGCCACGGATCTTAATCGACATTTCGGATTTCCCTGGTTCTGTTGATGGACATTCTATTGTTCAGTGAGACATATTTTGTTTGTATTCTTTAGTAGTTGGTTTTTTTTTTGTTTTATCTACATCTTCCTTAAGTTAAGGGTAACAATTAGAGACCTTTCGTTACTCGTCTTTCGAGTTCTTTTTTTGGCGCTGGAAGTAAACAAGAATTTATTGAGAAAAGAGAAATCTGAAGTTTAAAATGAGGGTTGTTAAAGTGGTTTCTTTCGATTTTCAGTTAATATTTTGTGACATATCATAACAAAGGAAAGCCGTAGGCACTTTTAGCATTCATATAGCAAAATTGAAACAATCAACAAACATATTGGACGTTGTTTGATAATCAGTTACACCTCAGACACAGAATGTTGTATTCTAGTCGAGGTGAACATTATGATGGGCCTTTTAAAAGAAATGTGAAATAAACCCTCTTTACATTTGGCTGCGTTTGACAAAAATTAGTCGCGCGTTATACCTTTTCTTTGTTTTAACTTAACCGGACCTGCCTCTTGTTACAATTTTTTTCTGGTGAAACTGAGTCCCTTTGAAAAAAATTAAACCAGCTTTCAAAGCGCACCGATTTCAATTACAAATGACATCACAAACATTGTCTTGAATTTATCGTATTGTAAAGACATCTTTCTTTTAAATGGATCGATTATGTCTTTGACACATTTCAGCAAGAATAATTTATTCAAACTGTCACAGGATTGAACTTAAGAAATACAAAAGTGTCATCCGTTGCCAGGTAACTATATCAAGCAGGTGCAAAAGGCGCAATGAAGTCCCGGATGAGAATGAAAACACATCGAGACAAAGAGAGGAATATCCTGACTGTTTCTCGATAAATTTGTGGTAGAAGATTATTCAGCCAACTTTATGCCATAACTTTCAGCGAAGAGAAGGACAAAATGACTCCCTCAGAGAGGCGAGATACGATGAGGCTTGAAAGTCTTGGCGGAGCGAAGCCGATAAAAGAACTCCGCGATAGAGTAGTTCTTAATGTCGGTGGCAAGGTTTTCGAGCCTTATATCAGCACGCTTAAAAACATACCAGATATTCCACTGGCGAGGATCTTAGACAATCGCTCGAAATTAGACTATGATCCCGAATCGGGTGAATATTTTTTTGACCGACATCCGGCAGTTTTTCAGCAAGTTTTGAACTACCTACAAACGGGGAAACTTCATTGTCCCCGCAACATCTGCGGCCCTCTATTCGAACAAGAACTCGCTTATTGGGGTTTAGACGAGCAACAAATGGAATCTTGTTGCTGGCCGAATTACACAAAACACAGGGACGCTCAGGAAAACTTGCAAGCATTGGATTTCAGACCTAAATACGAAAATGCAGACGGTGAAAGATCGAGGCAAAGGTTTTACAACGATCCGACTCTGTCTTGGTGGCAAAGAAATCAGCCTATCGTCTGGGAAATTCTAGATGATCCATATTCATCCTCTACTGCGAAGGTAGTACGGAAAACATTGTAATTGTACGATTTTTTTTTTTGGTGGATCCAGCTTTGGTAGTAAATTATACTGAGGGCTCTCAACCCGAGCGACGAGTTCATTTCTAGTTTCTACCGCATAAACTGAATTAAAAGTAACATGAATTTTCCCAGAACGAAAATCTCCTTTGATCGTTGGAATTCTGATGCCAAAGCAACTTTCTATCAGTCGCAATTACAGTTATGAGCAACCATTTTTTTTGGAAGTGGGCGATTGGTTGTTATATAAAATGAATTGAGCAGCCCACAATGCTAACATAGAAAATGTTCATGTTTTTTTTTTCTTGCCTGAGATGAAATGATCAAAAATCGACTTAATCTCTCCGTCGATGGCCCATTCGGAAATGTTTCAGCTCAGAATTCGCCATAACGTAACGTGCATCGGTTTTACAAATTTTACAATAATCCGTTAAAACGTTTGATCTGTTTTTACTATTCACCTATTTCGACAGGTTCAAAGTTTTTAGGGTTTCGCTAAGAATTCATTTTTGCCAAGTGGTGTATACTCGTCGGCACAATATAAGCTCGAATTTTAATGCCTTATAGAAAATTATGTGACAAAAAATGGTTTTAGGGACCAGTTCTTGCTCATCGCCTGGGGGGTGGAGGGGGGAGTGGGGGGGGGGGGGTCATATGGTTTTCAGGGGAGTGGAGGAGGGAAAGTCATCTTCAACAGAGTTAAAAGGGGGAACTGCCAATGAGGGGGGGATCATTAGAGTACTAAAGAGCCCCATGGGGGACTAGGTAAAATTAAAGAAAATTTTTCATCAAATGATCGTGTTTGTCCATTTGTTTTCGTCAGGTGTTCGCCTGGGTCTCTCTGGGATTCATCGTCACATCCATCTTCACAATCTGTCTGTGGACGGTTGAATACTTCAAGGGATTCAGAGAGGTCACCGTGACGCAGAATGTGACGCAGAATGTAACGCAGTCGACGGACACAACACTTGGTCGAAATTATAGTAAGTTTATCCTGATTAGAGTACAATCAAAAGAGGGTCAAGCTAAGAGGCTGGATTTCCATACACATTTTGTTCCAAAAGAAACCACCCATATGCTTCTATTTTTAGACTAGAGGCATGTGATGCCCGAGGAATAATGCTACTTTCTCCGAATTTATTGCTTAATGTTTGGGCGGAAAGCCAATGTTATATCGGATGTCCACAACACTTGAGAAAAATCATTCGCAGCGCACGATTTAGAAAAGGATTTAAAAACGAGAGATGTCTAAACCTAACGTAATTAAAGAAGAAAGCCAGCTTGAGTGATGCAGTCTCAAAGCTACTTCCTCTCTGAGATGGATGCTTGATTTTTCTTAAGTGTTTTCCTGCTATAATTAGGGTGGATTAAAAAGCTCGCACCCAGCTCGCCGTGAGTCTCCCTGGGGTTCTATGGTTGAGGCCATACCCTGACCCGGGGTATGTTAAGCGAGTCGACGCTTAACTCTATAGTCACAAATAGGGGAGGAGAACAGACGAAATGCTCTGAGTTGCCGGCGATGGAGTAGCCTCCCATCAAGATAGAGTGGTTGCAAATTTACTTTTGTGGTCACTTTTAAAAGAAGTGTGGGTTACTAGGCTCAAACAAATTCACTCCAGCCGTGTTCAAAATTTTAAACAATCTACCCTTCGTTTTTCAGCATCGGTGACAAAAACGGAACTTGCTGGTTCTCAGACCCCCATGGACGTGCTGACAATAATAGACTCGGTATGCACAGGTTGGTTCACCTTGGAGTTTCTGTTGCGCTTGGCTTTCTGTCCGAGCAAGTTCCAATTCGCCAAAAAGTTGCAAAACTGGATTGACCTTTTGGTGATAATCCCGCTATATCTACTCCTGGTGTTTGAACGCACAACTCTGATCGAAGTCCTAAACACAACGCGTATTGTTCGCATCTTTCGGTTCTTCAAACTGCTGTATGACCTCCAGATTCTGGGAAAGACTGTCAAGGCTAGTCGTCATCAACTGGGTCTTCTCCTACTTATTCTGCTCATCCCTGTCATAATTTTCTCAAGCCTTATCTTATACACCGAGAGGCAGTGGGGAACAGAAAAATCCGAGTCTGAGTTCCACAGCCTGCCCAATGCATTCTGGTGGGGCGTCATCACCATGACAACCGTAGGATACGGTGACATTGTCCCGGCTTCGTTTGCGGGCAAGGTTGTGGGTGGCATCGCCTCCATATGTGGCATCATCATCCTATCCACGTCTGCCTCTGTGATCGGCAGCACCTTTTCGCTGTACTACAACCTGGCCCAAGCACAACTCAAGATCCCACGGAAACAGCGTAACTTTGAGGTGGATTGCCAAAGCCTACCGGCTGTTTTAGCCTGCAGGACCAGCCAAACCGACTCCGCAGTGATCTCCAATACCTCAGATAGCGGCTATCAGCGGTCTCCTAATCGCCTTCAGACCTGTGATCGAAATAGTTTTGTGTTTGACGCAAACGCCCCATCATCTCCCAGGTCACCTTGCGCGTGCCAGAGCTCCCTGGATCCCCCTATTCCCTTAAAGCAAGTGTCATCGCCACGCCCATCTGTTCCCCTTACGCGGAAAGCGAGTATTAGAAGAGACAGTATTCTTGTGTAAATAAATATGACGTTTCCTGAGAGAGAGAAAACGTTCCAATACGGAAAAATGAACTTTTTTTCACCTCATCACATCCGGAACCTGTCATTATTTATCGCAGGGGCGGAGGAGAATCGGAAGATTTTTATTTAGACACGATAAAGCTCACCTGATCCTCCCATAAGGCTATGTCATATTTTCATGATCTTCCGCCATTGGCAATAATTGCTAGTCAGTTTTCTATAGTCCCTGTCTGTATACTCTGTTGGCGTCAACTAATTCCCTCTTTGATCCTCCCCTGAAAACCGAGTGAATGCCAGATGAAAGCAAAGTTTGCCAAGTTTAGTTGATAAAACCAAGAATCAGTAAAGCTAACAGATTTTGCGAAAAGGTTACTTAGCTTAATTTTTCCTCTGTATACATGTAACATGTGTTGAATCTCATTGTAGTTAAGGTTTAGAAAAATGTTAAAGCAAGCAATCACATTGTTTCACATGAAAGGAATACACGAGTAATCGTTAAGCAGGGTGATGCTAACCCATTAACCCCTAAGAGTGACTAGTTTCTAATTTCTCCATACAATATCACCATGAAATAAACATTAACGTTACGAGAATAAAGGAAATGATCACCAACCAAAGAAGCTCTTGATTGTTTCACAAATTCTCCTTGTCAGCACCTTAGGAAATGTACAGAGAACAGTATGGAGAATATGCATACTGATTTCGTGATGTAAAGGGTTAGAGCCCATAGACTGAACCTGCAAGATGTTTGGGATCGCAGTTGAAACGTAGTGTCAACATTAATCGACGCGAGTTTAATCTAAACTGAACAACAAGAAGCGTATATTTTTTTGATTACAGCGTACAAATGATGTACAAAATATCAGCTTGACTCTGATTTCGCAAATCGGTCATTATATCACAAGCAGGTATTCAAAATTATTGTAAATATGACAGAAGAATAATAAGATCTTTTGCTCTGATTAATGGAGACATTTTTCATCGCGATTGCAAAATAGTACCAGGAGTGGGGTTCGAACCCACGCGGACAATTCGTCCATTGGATCTTAAGTCCAACGCCTTAACCACTCGGCCATCCTGGTGTCAGCGGGTTTCAAGGCTTGGTTAGATCATGTTGTAGGGCCGTAAAGTACGACGAGTTTCTTACACTTATTTTACGCGTCTTGAGTTCAATAAATCGCTTACTGACCGAGCTTACTTGGTCCTAAAGATTGAGGAATAAAGGGCGTGAGTTTCTTGAGAAACTGTGGTGCTGCGTCGTTGGGAGAGTATAACAGAGTAATTTAGTATTATTAACTGAGTTAATAACGTAAATTAGCCACCTTAAAGAGTTTAAAAGCTGACATTTGAAGCATATCGCGCCCAAAAAAATTGATCGACAGTCGGCGCTACAAACAGCTTAGAAGGAAAATACTGATTGTATTCCATTCACTCTCACGTTTCACCCTCACAACCACGCATTCTTAAAAGCTTTGAACTACTTCAGAACGATTCAGAGACTGGTACTATCTTTTTGCAATCTCCACTAATTTCAATCAAAGGTGACAAAAACATAGGCAACTTTATGGTCAGAAGTTCATTTCAAACCAATTTATTGTGAAGTGGTATTCAATTGCATTGGCAACGATTCCTGTCTTAATTAGAAGCATAGGATAATCTTGCAAAGCTTCGTTTGAAAACCTTAAGTCGTTTCTGAATAGCCTTTTTTGAACAATACATTATCATTTAATACTCTGCCATAATCATTATGACTGCTTGATAGAAAATGAAAATTGATCCTCAAGTTAAATTCATCCGCGGTAACAGCAGGCAAATAAGCTTTCCTTTTTCCCACATCAACGTCAATTCAGCTACAGCGCCGACCGCCATGAGCTTTATATTTTCAACTTCTTTGAAGAGATATTCCAGACACTAATCTCAATCTTTTGTTTATAGGACAATCTATTCCAGTCCTTTCTAGAAAAACCTAAGCCGTTTTTGAGTGCACTCTACATATCTTAATTAATATCAGTGAATACTCTTGAAATTTAAAGTAACGACGTCGACACAGCCGGCCGAAGAAAAAATGGAGGTAGAAGAGAATACCTCGGATAGATGCCGTTGGATAAAAGTCAACTGGAAATGGGGCCAAATCGGAAGAGTGCAGCTTGGCATTTTCCTCCGCTTCAACCCGGTTGTCACGTTTCTGTCCGCCGCAATCATTTGGTCTATGGTGATTTGGTGCACAGTCCAAGCCAAGTTCGCCAAAGAAGAGATGTCGAGATGGACATTGTGGATTACAGAGGTCTTCACATGGATGTATATCGGTACCTCGGATATCTGGGCGGTGTTCATAGTGGTGCTGTATTTCTCCAAGTACGGAAACATGAAACTTGGAAAGCCAGATGACAAACCGGAGTTTGGTGATTTGACTTACTTTACTATGTTGTTCGCCGCCGGTGTTGCTATTGGGTTGTTCTATTTCGGAGTAGGTGAGATGAAATGATAGCTGGATGATACCCTATGGCTAAAAAATTATTTCGCGATTAAGCTTCCTGCAAACACAAGAACACAAATTGAACTTTGATTTTAAGTAATTTCCTTCTAATTCGAAAGAAGATCCAACAATACTAACTAACAATACTCCTTTCACAAATGCAAGAAATGCAAGGAACTGTTTTCTTCATTTCATCGTACTTGTCTTATGGGTAAATCAAAATCAAAGCGCTCCATTCATCATCACTCGGGAGGAAAGTGAGCACATTTCAACGGTCTAGATTAAAAATTTAGCGGTCCATGAGGCCTCGCCATGGTCTTCTGTGCAATTTTACTGTGCTACACAGCCTGCTCTATCAGGAAATAGTTTAATCATTGAATTGATTTTCCATTTCTTTTGATTTGACTTTCAGCTGAAACTGTTTGGCATTATGTACCTGGGGAATATGGGAATCGTTACTGGGGCAGGTAAATAAAACGGTATTTTAACCTGAGAGACCAATCTTATTTAGTCTGAATTCTGTCCTAAATGGTGAGGCAACTTCGAATTCCGACAGTCGTATTAAATCTTAAATACTACCAGTTTATTCTTATCGAGGAGAACCCAACACCATCATGTTAACGATCTCACGCTGATGACGCCTTACGGAGCCAAACGAGCTTACGAAGCCAAGTAGGGTCATGATGGCTTACTTTTCATTTCCCTTTTTTAAAGTTTTATTTTGATAGTGGTTTGTAAGGAGTAAAGTAAAACCAAAATGAAATGCACATACAAAACTGTCAACCACAATGACATAACGCAGCAATTGTTACGATATGAATTTATCAGGATCTTCTTCTAAAAAGCAGTGAAAAACTAGTGCTCCTTCCACCATCGCAATAGGAGCATTCTGCCTTAGCATTAGCATACCAGACACTACATTTTTGTAATGAATAAGGTTTGACTTTTCTATTGTCTAACATACGATTTAGTTGGACACCGGCCTCTGAAAAACGTCGTCTACTTCTAATAACACATCGTCAAGTAGCTCACAATCTCCTAATGGTGTTCAAGGTTGTTTATTCTTATATGCGACTCGCATTGCATACATTCAATTAAAGGGGATATATCTCTTAAAAACCAAAAATATTAAAATATTCTGATATTAGCCATGGGAGTTTATCGTTTAATTCTATTCAATAAAATTTCTTTGTGCCAACTTCAGTCGTATTTGAACTTCTTAATGGCCTTAGTAGAGAATCTGAAGGTCTGAGGTTCGATTCCGCGCGGGGAATCTTATTGTCTCTCTGTCCCACGCTGGTGACAAGGCGAAAAACATCTTTCCCTGAAGTTAATTTAGACACCTTTAATTTCTTTTTAATCCTGACATTTAGGTATAGCGATAATCAGCGTGCACAGGACGCCATCAACTTGACTCTTTTTCACTGGGGTGTCCATGGATGGATCGTGTATGCTGTAGTGGGTCTTCTTTTGGCTTTTGTGGCTTTCAGAAAAGGTCTACCCATGACCATTCGGTCCTGCTTCTACCCTCTGATTGGCGACAAGATCTACGGCTGGATGGGTGATGCTGTGGACATATTCTCTGTAGTGTGCACCATGTTTGGAGTTTGCACCAGTCTTGGTATTGGTACCATGCAGATCAACAGTGGTTTCAATCGTTTAATCAACTCTATCGAGTATTCCACAACTAACCAGATTATAATCATTTGGGCTGTCACTGTGTGCGCAACAGCATCTGTGGTGAGCGGCTTGAAAATTGGAATTCGTCGGCTGAGCGAGGCTTGCTTCACGCTGGGTATGTTCATCATGCTGACTTGTCTATTTGCCGACAATACTTGGCATGCATTAAATGTCTACGTGCAGAGTACTGGTTACTACCTTCAGTGGATCATCCAAATTGGCTTCCATACAGATGCTTTCGCACAACTGGGAAATGCACCCGATGGAAAGCAAGCTGAACGATGGTTCAACGACTGGACCATATTCTATTGGGGATGGTGGATAGCCTGGTCACCATTCGTGGGCATGTTCATTGCGAAGATCTCCAAGGGAAGAACCATCCGACAATTCATTAACGCCACAATGACAGCTCCAATTCTTTACGTTTTCTTGTGGCTTTGTATCTTTGGTAGTGCAGGCTTGAGGATGGAACGTGATGCCGCACTAGCAAACATAACGTGCTCTTCCCCGAAGGGAGGGGCAGGAGCGACCTCCTCTTTGAATGGCCTATACCGTCTGTCTTGCCGACAAACGACCGAAATGTGGTTTGATGTTATCGAACAGTATGGAGACCTTGGAACGTTCCTATCTGTGATCTCACTCATCAGTATTGTTATGTATTTTGTAACCAGTTCCGATAGTGGTTCCCTTGTGATTGATTGTCTGTCAGCAAATGGAGATCCAGAACCTCCTGTCATACAGCGTATCTTCTGGGCCCTGACAGAAGGTGCAACAGCTACAGCTCTGCTGAATGCTGGTGGTCGAGACGGTCTTGTGGCCTTGCAGGCCATGTCAGTAGCATCCGGCGTCCCTTACACCATACTGCTTTGTTTTATGTGCGTGGCACTATGGCGGGCTGTGAAGATGGAAGCTGGTGACCTCGATCCAAATGGTCCTCAATTCACCACCAGTCTCTTGGAAGTCCTGAGCAACCCAACATTAAAGAGTGTCGGCAGGGTCCTGTTCGCCATCATTGCACCGTGGTACGCGATGGGAAATGCTGCACACAAGATTGATAGACAACATGGGAAAGGGTGGTACATGACGATCATGGCAGTCTTGTTTTATCTCTGGATTATCCTTATGGCATTGGAGCCTGTCGTGGATTCCATTTCTAACGTCGCGTGGGCCATACTGATGGGATTCTTCGCTTATGCCACCTCCATCCGCTACTCCATCCGCGAAGAATACAATATCTATGGCAATCCGGTCGAAGATTTCTTCGCGGTAATGATAGTGTACCCGTTTGCCGCGTACCAGATGGAACACCATATGGATAGCGCCCATAAACTGGATACACCACTGAATGACGCGGGTAAATTGAGTGATCGAGAGGGAGAAAAACGAGGCCCGGCGGATGACGTTGGGGCGCCTCAGTACAACTATGCAATGGAACGTTTTCCAGTAAGTCGTTAAAATTCTAATCAGTCAAAAAGTCGACGTCATGTACATACGTTAGGTGCCTGTCTACTTTTTGAGCTTATCATTTAACTTTAGTTCAACAAGTACTTTGTCACATTTCCATATTTTTCATTACAATCAGAGGAAATCACACTCTTGGGACACTCGCCGTTTTTTTGTCGGCAATTTAGCACGCTGGGTTGTATTGTAGTTCACCACGCCTCTCATCTCCACTTTTTAAACAAAACTATTTTCTTGGTGACTCATTGAACGTTGATAGGACAGTAATGGGGGGACTTTTAGGCAAGCCTCTAACTCTAAAGAAGTTAGAGAATGGTATTTCCTTCAGCGTTTCTAGAGCGTTTTCCGCTGATTTTAAGATATTTACCATAATATTTCTGCCAATTATAAGAGATCTTAAAATATCACCAACGCAACGGAGAATTTTACTCAGTAGTTCGAGAAAGAACGTAGGTTTTTAGATTTTGGTATAGTGTATGCCTTTCGTTCCACGAGTGTATTTTACTTTTGCAAAAAGTAATGAGAATTCCGTCCATAGGAGGTGTTACCTGTTTGTACAAATGCTCCCGAAGCCGAGGGCAGCAGTGATTGGAATCATATGGAAACTGCCAATCAGCTGGATCGAACCCATCGGGACATGGAAAACACGAATGATCCGGACAAAGCTAGACGACGATCGGCTAATAGCAGAAGGAGTCCACAACTAGGGGATAACCTAGCCGTGAAAGATGACACAGCAAGTCGTGTAAGTCTCTACTCAACAAACGAATGGGATGTAATTTAAGGTGAGAGTGAATTCATGAGAAAACTTTTAACAATTAGATTCTATTTTTCCCGACGTATGTTCAGTAATCGATCACAGATGACGTTTGAAATGTGGTAGGAACAAAAAAGCGGCACACGAGGCGCAGTAGAGTGTGTCACTGATGTTCTTACCACATCCCTTGGCATCTCATATTATCTTTTACCGAACAGACCCATGGTAACTGTCTTATATCATAAATTAGTAAAATGTTGTTAATAGTGACGATATCTATGCGTCTCTCCTGCGAGAGACCGTAAGTAAGAAACAATTAAAATGTGTGTAGACCTCAGCATATCATATAATCATAACGAGCCGTGATGCGAACGTTTTGCACCTATAATTCTTCAAACTTTATCAATCATTATTCGGGATTTTCTTACAAATCTATATGTAAGCGTATTTTTTAAGTCATTGACTGATACTTGTAAATTAGAGTTCGCGTTTTATGGCAAATGAATAAAAAAGAAAAAAAATACAAATGACTCAAGCATATATTTTTTTCAGATTGTCTGATTTCCATTGCATATAATTTACACAAGCAAATGAACTGGTTAAGCTGTGGCATGGTCGTCTTCTTTTCCTCCTCAAAATAAGTCTTCTTGCGGTTTTTTGATTCCCCGGTGTCACTATAGAAGACAGGGAAGCGTTTGTCATGATTGTCAGTTAATTAAATTGTGTCATTTGTTAGGGGCAAGTCATTATTTATCGCCGGTTAGAATGGGGGGGTTCCCCCGTACGGGTCTGTGCCATTCTTATGATACGCCCCTCTTAACAATTAATTGGCAGTTAATTTACTATAGTTCCCCCCCTCCCCCCTCTTCTTTTACTTTATTCGCGACGACTGATATCCTCTCCGTTCTCCCTGAAAACCATATGTTTTTCCTCCCACCTTCCCCCCCCCACCTTTTCCCTCACGGGTAATAAACAATGAATAATGGTCGCTACAATGAGTGACACCGCTGGAATTTGGGGTCAAACTGCGATTTTCATTTTATATTCATTTTGGGAGCCACCCAGGGCTTGTCGGGTAGGTCAGGTTTCATACAAGCTTTGGAAAAGTTGAGATCTTTTGAATGAGCTCTTCAAGGCCTCCTCAGAGGAATATAACATCAGTGCAGTTACGCAGCTTTGAGCAGAGGAGTTTTCGAGCGTGTTTTTGTTCTTACGTGTGGATAAACTGTACTGTATGAGTAGATATTAGATAAGTAGGTGAGGAAGAGAAATTGAACAGGAATGGTTCGATCATTGCGAGCCGAAGCTCGAATTTTATCCCTCACTCGGAGAGTTCGAAGTTGGATTTATCTGAAATCCTCCATCTTTTACTGGTGCGCGTGATCCGTGTTCAAAATTTGTGCATTTGAAGTCGCTCTAATAAACGCGTGGAAATTTTTCACTAGACTTTTCTCTGACACAGGGAGAGGTTTCATCTCTAAGCTCTAGTTTTTTGTAAGTATTCGACCTGAAGTTGTAGGAGACTGTCGTCAAAGACTTTTTCAGGTCAATGAATTAAAAACTGTTTTTGTCTATATCTGTGTTGTCTATTGTTTTTCAGTCCCCTTTCTCATCAATTGTGTAATCGTGAGTGACAAAAAGTGAGAGCCGGGATGCTCTTTACAATCGATCATGCAGATCAAGTGTGCCACACACGCATGTGTTACTGACCGCGAATTTTACCCATGCCATGCTCTTGTGGAACATTTATCCATCCTTTGAATGCGTCCTCACAGTTGAGTCAACACATTGCCTGTTAACATCCAGAAGTGATTGAAAAGTAGTTTATCTATATTTTACATGTTCCAGACGACTATTTAGAAACTTGTAAGCCGTTATTGGCTGAGCCTGCACGCAGTTCCTTATTGTTAGCACCACAAGACACCGTTTGCTCTGCTCGCAGGAAGATTTGAGACGAGTTGGGGAGAGTTTTGTGGGAAGTCTGGCACTGCTAATGAGGTAGACTCCTTTCAGACCTCTCCTTGGATCAAGTCGCTCAATGCGTCACCCTTCCTTGCGGGCTGAAAAAAGCTGGTACAGAATCTCTAATTTTAATGTGGACCTTCGCGTTGGCTATTACTGGTTTAAAATGACAGCATATTCTCCAGCTTTTTTTGCGCGGAAATCTGTATCAGCCAGTTTTGAAAATTACTTGTCCGACCTTGAGAATTTTAAAAAGGATAAAGATTGCAAGTACAACAATACTCCATGGTTTAACTTCTCCTTACTTCTGCCATATAGTTCTCGTGATGTTAGTTTGGAGAATTTGGTATCGGATCAACTAATGATTTCCTAATTCATATTTTTCTTTATTCTCATCACTTGTCTGTTCGATAATGTATTGATATTGTGAGGAGAAATTCTGTCTTGGTCACTTATAGGAGATAAAGGGTTAAGACTTCCTTTTGAGCATTCCTGAATAAAGACAACGATTTTCCTGAGGACGTTTTTTTTTCTTTCTTAAAAAACATGCGTCAAAGTCGATGGGTCCGTCGACGAATAATGTTTTACGTGACTCATTACACTCACCACAGGGTCATCTTAACTTTTAAATCTATGACGTAGAAACTGTAACACAACTTTTTTAATTAACACTCTGGATAAATTAAAGCTTTGTTCAAATGCAAACCACAATTGAAATGCTTATTTCATTATTTATATGCAAAACCACAACCACACGTTATCCTGCACGTATTTTCAAGGTCCCGTGGATGTTTCGAATTTTCAATTACGGGTAGTATTTCTTCCCTTCCTTTGCGACTGACCATAGGAATTCCTTTAATGTTTTGTCCTAGAAAAAGGGAATAACGCCCACAAAAACTTTGTAAGTTAAATCAAAATTGTTTTCTAAAACGAATGTTACTTTGATAATACATCTTCTAAGGCATCAACAACCTTTCCTTTTTTTAAAAATTTTTGCATGCATTGATTTGACGCACAATTAGGCTTGAAAACATAATTTGGTGGAGTTAACATAACTTATAGAGCTGAGTCTTTTCTTTAAGACAAAAACAGTAAGTTATGTGGGAAATGTTGTGGAATTCACGCCAGTGGGCGGGTTGAAGGGGGGGGGGGGGGGGGGGGAAGAGAAGGGCAGAGCCGCACAGAGATCTGTATCGTCTTTGTCTTGGGTAACGATAGCGACGCAGGGCTAAGCTTTTTATATCAATGAATATCAATGAACGTATCTTTTAAACAGGCCTATGACTCTTTTTAATTTTTTTTAAATGATAAATATGTCTAATCATCTTAAAATTTTTAACTTAGTTTATTCCTATGTATTTTTGTTTCCCTTTAAATAATCTTTTATGAAAAGTGCCATGGACGACTAGAGGATTTGGCGCTATATAAATATTTTTTATTTTTATCAATGTTTATGGATAACATCACCGACGTACTCGATCAAAGAGAGAGACTTTGAATCGCCCAAAGCAACTTTTGAGTTGCTGCTTGTCTTCTATTGGCCAGTCCACGCCACAAAAATTCCACGTGGTTCCCATGGAGAAAAAAAATTGCTGTTATATTTAACAATTGATTCATACGTCAGCGTGCGTTCATCGAGATATGAAGCACGCGGGAAGTTTGGAGAGCACGAAAGATGCGTGAGAGTTGCTCGAGGCGTAGCCGAGAGCAACTCTAGCTTCTTAAGTGCTTTCCAAACTTCCCAATTCCCAAGAAGTGTTTTTATAACATTTTCAACCCGATGGAAAATTTTTTCCTCGAGGGATTTGTTTGCTGACGTCACAATAAGAATATGAAGCACGCTCGCGCAATAGAATTTGAGTAGACAAATTTACCAGCAATGTTATAATGACAAGTGACAATTTTAGTAGTAACCCTACACATTTAATTAAAAAAATACCATGTGATGACAAATTGATGATATGGGGAAGTGTCCGAGGGGTGGTATCACCTAGGAAACGGTTATTGAAGATAAGCCACTTGATGCGGTCGTGTTTTTATGACTGGATTGGCTATGATGATGTTGCGTTTTCGATAAAGTTACAAGAATGGCAGTTTGAGGTAAGAAAATCTTCGTAAGTAGGGATTTAGAAATGGAAAGATTTGCAGTTAAAGAGTTGTTACATTTGCCCGAAGTGACTGAGGAGGGGTCAATAACTTGCCACAGAATAGACTGAGAAGGAAAAACTGCACCCAAGCATCCTCCCCCCACCTCGAATAATTGTGTATTATCTGAAGCCCTAGAGCGCGCCTGAGGTAACAACGGTATTGACAATGGTTCTTTATTACCATCAAAGAAAAAAAGAGAACAAGCTATCACTTTAACACTCAGCAATAGCTGTTATTGGACTTCAATAACCAGCACACATTGGTTAAGAAAAAGACACAGAAACACAGAAGTATCTTTGGACAAAGTTGAACTGTTGGCAAATTGAATAATTTGCATGTACCGTTCGTGGAGTTTGTTGTTTTTAAGTTATTTGCATAACTGTGAAGTGGGATTTTAGTCAATGCTTTTGTTTTGTTTTGGTTTTTTTTCGTAATTACGTCGCCGTCTCCAAGAATCTAATGGAGTTATTGTCTTGGGAGTTCAACAAGCGAGCTTTCCAAAAGGAAAGCACTGGCCGCTATTGACTTTCTATCTGCATTCTCTTTGGTAAAATTTCCACACAGCCCCATACTATTGTAAAACAAATCTGTTTTCCCAATGGCAATGTATCGTTTTTGTCATTGTTTTCTCTATCCAAGAACTGAATGCATAATGTACTTTGTCGCATGGGCTGCGCGGAAATATTTACCTTGTTTCGTGTAAATCAAACCTACAACTCGCTTACGACTCTTAAGTCATGTCGTAGGCCTGTCGTAAGCTTGTCGCATGCTACAAAGTCGTGCCGTGTAAATAGGCCTTAACACCAATTCTGATCTGCGGAGCCTTGGGCAACCCTTGCTCGTCTTTAGTTTTTTGGAAACAACTTGAATCGTTTCTGACTGAGCCCTCTATAACCGTTTTATTAACAATCAGTACTCTCCCACGTTCATTCTACTGCTTAGTAAATCAACTAGCACATCCATGGTCAGTCAGATAATAATCGGTCTCGCAGTTTAAGTTCATACATATTGCAGTTGACGCATTATAATTGTAAGCAAGTGTTCTGTACTTTGCCCTTGACCGAAGCCTTAGTCATCAAGAGACCAATATGAATTAACAAGGGGCGGATGTGTAAAATGCCAACATCACGCTTTGGTGGTTCACAAAACATAGTTTACATACTTATTCCGGTGCTTCGGCGCACTTTGCCAGTTGTCCTTTAAGCACTCAACTTGGCGGCAGGCAAAGCAATGGAGATCGAAGAGAACGCTGCAGAAAGGTGTCGTTGGGTACGAGTCAATTGGAAATGGGGCCAAATCGGTAGTGTGAAACTTGGTATCTTTCTCCGCTTCAACCCAGTTGTCACGTTTCTTTCCGCCGCAATCATTTGGTTTTTCGTGATTTGGTGCGCAGTCCAAGCCGACGTCGCGAACAAAGAGATGTCAGGGTGGATGTTATGGATTACGGAGGTCTTCTCGTGGATGTATATCGGTACCCAAGATGTCTGGGCGCTGTTCATAGTTGTGCTTTACTTTTCCAAGTATGGAAAAATGAAACTTGGAAAACCAGATGACAAACCGGAATTCAGTGATCTGACTTATTTTACTATGCTGTTCGCCGCCGGAATCGGCATTGGGTTGTTCTATTTCGGAGTCGGTAAGATGTGTTAATTATTTATGTTATATACGTATACCGTCAGCTAACAGGAAGATCTAGGAACCGTTTACTGCGAAAAGGAAAGAAAAAGTGGACCACTGATTTCGCTTACTTTCCTTATAACCCTTTACTAGATTCGCTAGAAAAATAACAAATATCATCTGTTAACAAAAAGTGCAAATGCTTTTGACTGTGAACTTCGTAAACAAATGACAGCGAAAATTAAATTTTTGCCGTTTGCGTTCGCTGTTCGCTGTAACGATGATTTATATCACATTCAATATTAGTACACAGGCGCCCATCTAGAGATGTCTCTTAGTTAAGTTTCCTTGGCAAAGGAATTTGGCGGCGTTATTGCACACGTTTAATTTACGACAGTATTTGTAAATACGGTCCTCGAGTTGAAAAGAGGTGCAGCGGTCGCACCCACAAACAATGTAAAGAGTGGAAAATTTATCGTTTTGTAACATTTTTCACTCGCCTAACTTTCATTTTCTGTTGAACTAATATCAAAGCCACCATTTGAGATTGTGTAGTTTTGAAGCTAATCAAAACAAATGCAAATCTCTTCACCATTATTGTGTAAATCTTGAACGTGTAAATGCTGAACTAAACAGCATGAGTTCCCTTCCTGCAGGCTATTTGCCGTTCGCAATAAACAATGTTCTGTGTATCTCGTAAATCGCTTCATAAATTAGTCTAAGAGAGATGTAGGCAAGTGTTTTCACATAAAGGAATTGTCGTTTGTACTTGTTAATCTCCTCGAGTACTTCCAAAACGGTCATGAAGTGGAAAATAGTTGCGGTCTCGGAACGGAAAAGTACAATTACTGACGCAGTTTGATTGTTAAAATCCACGCTCTTGTACCGTTTTGTCACTTCGCCAAGTTGTTACTTCCTTTTTGTCACATAGTCTTCCCATTATTTGTGAATGCACTTAATATTTCGCCGCGTCATAAGCTTATCGGTTAATGAGATGTGTGAATTTACTAGACCCTCACGCACCAATCGTTGTTGATAAACTGATGAGAACGTTTCTTCCGCACGCCGTGGTCAGGTGTTACTGACCTCCTTAGAAAACTCAGCCAATGCACGACAATGGACTATAAAAAGAGAAACTCAAACATAGCGGGTCACCAGTTTAATGGCACGTTCAAGAACAATTTCTTCTTTGTTTTCGCAACGCCACAAAAAAACAATTCAGCGACAAGTCAGTCAAGCACAAAATTGAATATTCGATTCTGCGGGAAGAAAAAGACAGCGAAACGAAATCAAAAAAGCGTATTGCAAAAACGTTTTTTAAGTGATGTCAAATCTTTGAAAGGAACATTTGTAAACTGGGTAAAATTTCCGCACAGCCCCATCCTACATTATGCATTCAGTTCTTGAACAGAGAAAACAATGACAAAAACAATACATTTCCGTTGGGAAAACAGATTTGTTTTACAATAGTATTGGGCTGTGCGGAAACTTTACCGTAAACTGAACTGCTATCCAGTGTACGGTTCCATGCAAGAGTTTGAAAAAAAAACATTTGGCGTGTACTTTGGAAGATTCCATTATCTTCAACAACGGCAAATGCTTTGAAAACCAATTGGATAATCATTAGTCATGAGCAGATGAGTATAAACTTATAAATGGTAACCGGCTCCGTCTTTTTCTCACTTGCCCGCCGACGTAGCATGACATTTTCTTTAGAACTTTAAGCTTCTTTCAAAATCAGATTACAATGGAAAGTTTTCAATTCAATTGTGGCAAAATTCCAACATTCCAGTTTTGAAATTATACAATAAAACTATCCGCGAAAGAAATGAAATGGGATGGTTAGGGTATTCAAATTTGCCTAGCTGTTCTTTTGATCATAATTTCAAAATGTGGCTTCGAGCTCGATACCGCACTAAAACTTTCGAGAAACGGGCTCCCGGTCTTTTTGTCAAGAACATTGCACCCTTAGTCATTTGAAGGTTGGTACTTCACTGTGGTTGAAGAGATAATGAATTATTCCACCATATCATTGCAGTTTGGTAGAACAGTGTAATGTGAAATTTGGCACTGTTGTAGCAGACTACGAGAATTCTGGCTGCCATAATGACCTGCGTTTTCCGACTGCCATAGAAGTCGTCAATCATCTAAGTCAGATTGCTATATAAAGGACATTTCAAGGCGCTGTAATGTTTGTGAAGACTTCATTGAATCTTTACTGAATGCTCGTAAGCTGGGATCATTGAGTTCCCATATATAAATCTCTTTTAGTACCTTTTAGAAAGTCAATTCATTTGGCCAACTGGACATCTGCTTGCTTTCATTGGCGTCCAGTACCGAAAGCAGCAACAAGCAAACTCTTCTCTTCTCCATATTAGGGAGCGGTTATTACTGAGGGGGGAGGGGAGGAGTGGGTTAGGAGGATTTTGGTTGTGTCACAATAAAATTCATCTGTTCTCCCCCCGTCGTTTGCAGTCAATCCTCCGACGCCCCCCTCCCCCGGCGATAAAAAATGACCGGTCTCTTATATTAGTGACAGCTCATTAAAAGAGGACATTCATACCAGCGCACACATAGCTTCCCCCCCGCTAATCGAAATGTAACAAAACCTCATTTGGAGAGTTGATATTTTGGCTGACAAAATACGATTTCAAATATCAAGACAAATTTCGACAATTTCTTGGGTTAGGGCATTAGTAGATAACAACGTATTGTGGCTCATGTAAAAAAGGAACTGTTATATAAAACTCATCGCAATTCTTTCTTAGAAGAAAAGCTTTGAACACAACATTTGGGAACGCTTAACAAAATTACATGCCTTTTTGTCTTTTAAAAAATTTCTCACCTCTTATAGGCAAATTAAAACCAAACCAAACTACGTGAAATTGGAGGAAAATGAACATAAGAGAGAAGCCTAGGGATTTAAGTTGACCGTCTATGAAGCCTCGCCATGGTCTGTTGCAATTTCGTAATTTTGTTGTGTTACACAACTTGCTTGATCGGGAAATAATCGAATCACTGATTTTAATTTTTTTTGTTTCCACTTTCAGCTGAACCTGTTTGGCATTATGCACCTGGGAAATATGGGAATCGCTATTGGGACAGGTAAATAAAACAGTAGTTTACGCTGAGAAACCAATTAGTTTTAGTCCGGATTCAGTCCAAAATGGTGCTGTTACTTTCCACAATCGAATGCGATCTAAATTGTCTCTTCGTATTGAGGAGAGAACATAAATTCGTAAATAACTCGACAATTTATCCTGAGAAAGTAATTTGACTGAGTCAAAACCCAAAACCATGCTGATAAGGCCTTGAAAGGTCAAAATAACGTCGTAGGTACGCTCTTGATGGCTCACGCTTTTTTGGTAGTTAATTAAGTGCTAACTGGTGTCATTTCCAGTTGTACCTCAGCTTTGAGCGCAACCTATGGAGTTAACAGATCAAAAAGTATGTCTCTATATTTTAGGAGACGCATGCACAGTGCTCACCAGGAGGCGTTCTGGGCTCTGGGTCGGGAGGTCTGGGTTCAATACCTGGCTAACCCAAATATAAAACTACGCAGACAGAAGCCCTTGAAATAAAACTTCTAATTTCGATTAATAATGTTCATTTAGTCGCTCTTTATTTCTGTTTCTTTAAAAATTTAGGTACAGCGATAATCAGCGTGCCCAGGATGCCATCAACTTGACCTTGTTTCACTTTTCGATTAATAATGCTCATTTAGTCGCTCTTTATTTCTGTTTCTTTAAAAATTTAGGTCCGATAATGGATGGACTTTGTGAATCCATGGATGGATTGTGTATGTAGTGGTGGGTCTTCTTTTGGCTTTTGTGGGTTACAGAAAAGGCCTACCCATGACCATTCGGTCCTGCTTCTACCCTCTAATTGGTGACAAGATCTACGGCTGGATGGGTGATGCTGTGGACATATTCTCGGTAGTGTGCACCATGTTTGGAGTTTGCACCAGTCTTGGCGTTGGTGTCATGCAGATGAACAATGGTTTCAAGCGTCTGAACCCTTCCATCGAGTTTTCCAATACCAACCAGATTATCATCATTTGGGCCGTCACAGCCTGCGCAACAGCATCTGTGGTGAGCGGCTTGAAAATTGGAATTCGTCGGCTGAGCGAGATTTGCTTCACCCTTGGTATGTTCATCATGCTGATTGGTTTCTTCGCCGACAATACTTGGCATGCGCTGAACGTCTACGTGCAGAGCATTGGTTACTACACGCAGTGGATCATCCAACTTGGTTTCCACACAGATGCCTTCGCACAACTGGGAAATGCACCCGATGGAAAGCAAGCTGAACGATGGTTCAACGACTGGACCATATTCTACTGGGGATGGTGGATAGCCTGGTCACCGTTCGTGGGCATGTTCATTGCGAAGATCTCCAAGGGAAGAACCATCCGTCAATTCATCCACGGCACAATGACGGCCCCCATTCTCTATGCATTCTTGTGGTTTTGTATCTTTGGTAGTGCAGGCTTGAAGATGGAGCGTGATGCCGAATTAGCAAACATAACGTGCTCTTCCCCAAAAGGAGGGAGAGGAGCGACCTCCTCCTTGAATGGTCTGTACCGCTTGTCTTGCCGAGGTAAGAACGACATGTGGTTTGATGTAATGGAACAGTATGGAGACCTTGGAACGTTCCTCTCCGTGATCTCACTCATTAGTGTCATTCTGTACTTCGTAACCAGTTCCGATAGTGGTTCTCTTGTGATTGATTGCCTGTCAGCAAATGGAGATCCAGAACCTCCTGTCATACAGCGTATCTTCTGGGCCCTGACAGAGGGTGCAACAGCTACAGCTCTGTTGAATGCTGGTGGCGAAGAGGGCCTTGTGGCCTTGCAGTCTATGTCAATAGCATCCGGTGTCCCTTACACCATACTGCTTTGTTTTATGTGCGTGGCTCTATGGCGGGCTGTGAAGATGGAAGGTGGTGACCTCGATCCAAATGGCCCTCAGTTCACTACAAGCCTCCTAGAGGTCCTGAGCAGCCCAACATTAGAAAAAGTCGGCAGGGTTTTGTTAGCCATCTTTGCCCCGTGGTACTCGATTGGAAATGCTGCCTACAAGATTGAAAGAGGAAAACATGGAAGATGGTGGTACATGACGATCATGGCGGTCCTATTTTACCTCTGGGTCATCCTGATGGCGTTGGAGCCAGTCGTGGATTCTATTTCTTACGTCGCGTGGGCCTTCCTGATGGGATTCTTCGCTTATGCCACCTCCATCCGCTACTCCATCCGTGAAGAATTCAATATCTATGGCAATCCCGTCGAAGATTTCTTCGCTGTAATGATAGTGTACCCATTTGCAGCGTACCAGATGGAACAACATATGGATAATGTCTATCTGCTCGATCGCCCCTCTGATGCCTACATGGATAAAGCAAAACCAAGCTCGGCAAGTGGCATGGGTGCATATCAAGAAAATAACCCAAAGCATCACTTGAATCACTCCAATGAGGTGGCAAAGCCCATGGAAAGTGGTACCTGGACACCTTCGATGTCAATGCAGAACCTGTCTTCTAACGGGCCTCATTATAACCCTGCTATCGACGATGATGACACCTCAGGTCGGAAAAACCCTTACTACTCAAAAACTGAAGTAATTTAAGGTGACCGTGAATTCATGAACGTACGTACATACGATAGGCGCATGCGTATTTTTTCAAAATTATCATTAACCTTAACTCAACCTTGTGTGCTATTATGGTCCCAGCTTCGCAAGAAGAAGCTATATTTTGAGGATTGGTATTCTTTTGTCGGCATATCCAAGCGTTTTTTTCGGTATTGCATGAGAACTTTCATTACAAAATCCCCAAGACTGACCTTTTTTTTCAGTCATTAGTCTTTTCTCTAGCATCTTCTTATTTAAAATTACGATCAGTAGAGAAAAATTCTGTGGGACACATATTGGGTCAATCAGTGTGTCTAAGGCTTTCTCTATAAGAGGGTTGATTTAACAAACTAAATGTTCATCCACTGTTGGTTTTCGGCCCTCTTGACACTGCTCGCAAAAATAAACGTTTAGAAAAATAGATTAGGCTAAATTGAGGATTGTTTGAGACGCAGTTTGTTGAGCTACGGCTAAACCTCATTTAAATAATCAGACCTTAATGTGTTTTTGTCTCTTTACGTGGTCGAATTGGTGCTTGCCTCTCGTCTCTACTCCTTAGGCATTGCTGATATACTAGTGCTAATAGGGCGATAACGAGAGAATTTTTAAAGAAACCTGGAACCCGGTTTTTACATTTATTTTTCATGAAGTGTCCCAAGAGCTTTTTTCCGCTGATTAACAGTAATTGTGACTGTCAGTTATCATTCATAAGAAAATGTCGTAAAGCGGAACGAGAAATATATACGCAGTAGTTCGTGAATATCACGTGAGCTCCAGGCTTTGCCATCGTACATGGATTTTTTTTTTCCTTTCTATTTTCTTTTATGGATGCAAGAAGTAATGGGAATTCCGTCGATGAGGGGGTAGGACAAAGGGGATAAGATACTTAAATATAAGTTTTCTCTATCGTGTGGTTCGCTCAGAACGTTATCAGCATTTATCTTATTGATAGTGATGTCAACAGCTCTTTGAACAACTTGGCTCAAGCATTTTATACTTAACTCTCGCATATGAAGTGCAAGAAAATTTAATAATTCGCAACCCTACTTTGTTAGCATATTTGTGGGGGTAGGGGTCGGGGAAAATTTCTTCCATTCAACTAACACTTAGCTGAGAGCTTGATACTCAAATTATTACTTAGATTCTTTAGGTGCGATTGCTGTCGTAGTGGATCAGAGAAAAACATGGAAACTGTTTATTAATGGTGTTTTCCAGAATTATATACTGCAATGTATAACCATACAATAAAAATGTTAATGAGGGGTGTAGAGTGATTGGTGTAAAATAAATTTACAACGCATCTGCATGAATTTTGCGGTTATAAAATATTCAAAAGTGTAAGGTATCTTTCCTCTCTCTCCTTCTCTGAGGAATAATCATCCAAGGGTGTGACTAGGGGGGATCCTGGGTGCCCGTGACTCCCCCTTTGTAAGCCTCTTTGTCTCATTAAATGAAATATGGCGTATAGATTTGTCGACCCTCTGTTTTTGACAATCCTGCCTTTGCAATCCCTGGTTCTCTTACCTGGGTACTCACTATGGGGGTAGGGGTGGTGGGGGGGCGGGGTGACTGAGAGTCAGGGTTGGAGAATAAGTAAGTGATTGTTACTGGAGCTAATTATTTATGTTAACTTTTCCCCTAAATTTTGCTGGTATCTCTATCCAACCATAACATTTTCAGAGCACTTTCCAGAGCGATCCATCATTCGCAACTTGAATGCATATCCATGTTACACAGTACAGGTACCACAAATGCAGATAAGGGTTATAAACTATTGTAAAGACAGAGCGTAATCAATCTGACTTATTGTTGGACGGAGAAAAAAATTTTGCTTTTCCAATGTGTTGTATTTTAAGTAAAAACATATTAGGTTAAGTAGTTTCTATAAAGAAAAAAAAACTGTGTTTAACAAAAGAACTTTAAAACATGTTTAAGCTTTGATTTGAATGAGGTATTAGTTATCAGGAATACTCGGGATATCTCGTCAAATCATACATGATGTACTATACGTATCTCATGTTACATTTGACCGTGGGCTCATCAAGTAGCACCAAGGAAGGTTTGGTGAACATTGTTCATTCGGCATTGAAATTACTTTTGGTTTGTAGAAGCACCAGGCTCTTATTTTAACGCGATGGATGATGCAGAGCTAACTTATAAATTCTGGAGAATCCGCAAGACGGTCATGCAGGTATTTCATGGAAATTTTTTATCTATAAACTATGCCGAGAACCGTTTCGTTTATTAGATCTCTACCACGTGCGGAAAGAAAATACAAACATTTTTATGACAAGAGGACGCTTGGGTTTTACGAAAGACTAGCGAAATCACCCTTGAGCTCTCCGTTTTTAGAAAATCGTCTTCTAAATGTGGACTCGAGTGCCACAAGTGGAGAGAATCAAGACTTCTTTCGTGTGCTAGACGCTTCCTGCGTGCTTTATAACAGAACAGAGCACAATCAAGGCTTCTCTATTTGTTAAATCAAGTTATTTTTTAGCAAGTTTGACAGCTCTCAATCGTTTAATAGATAAATACAGCTGTAAATGAAAGATGAAGTAGGGCTATGTACATTTACTTTTGTATTTGGACTTATTCCTCAGCCAATTGATACATGTAGTTAGGATGTTGTGCGCCTTGTTTATCACCATCGGCTGGCGTCTACAAGCAACATGCTGTAAAAAATTGTAACCGTAGTGGATGGAACCCCAAAAGTATATAAAAAAGACAATAACTATTGAACAGATATAATCACACTAGGAAAAATGATCAGTGATATTCTTACAATCAGGATTATGTATTTGACTGTGCAGATAACAGTTAGCAAAGTTGCACAATCAAGCCTTAACACTACAGTGATAAGGATTGATTTTTTTTAAGTTCTCTCTCATCATTTTCAGCTTCTTGATTACAATTTTTTTTGTTTTTGTTTCAGATGTGTCATGACAGAGGATACCTGGTGACACAAGATGAATTAGACCAGACTCTGGATCAGTTCAAGGAACAGTTTGGAGACAGACCAAGGTAAGCAGTTGAAGATGCACAACCAAGGACAGGTGTGTGTAAGCAGTGTTAAAGATGGAAAATATTTGAATTTGGTAAAGAAATAGAGGAGTTAAGCTTACTTTGTCTTGTCATGAGGGAAGGAAAAAGAAAATTTTGTGAGTTCTGTTGAGGAATCAAACCTCACACCTACAGAATTTACTCTCCGATGCTCTACCACTGAGCTGTTGGGCCATCATGAGATTTATATCAGACTCACATACTACACACACCCAGGATCAGCCCTGTCAAAAGTGTTAAGTGTCCAGTGTATAAATGGCAAAAGCGAGATGGTTAATTTTTAAGCTTGGTAAAGAAATAGAGAAAGATGCCTTTTTTTTGGTCTTGTCACAAGCACAGGGGCTAAGGGTTTGCTGTCAAGGTCAGGACTGTCACTTACTTCAGCATGACCCTTTTTTTAAGCCTTTGCTGAAAATGTTTGGTAAAATTTGCCTATAATCAATCAAGGTATTGACACAAAAAGTTCTAGCTGATTTATTTTATTTTCATTTTAAAAATGTCTTTTTATTAATTTCTAGTGAAGGAAGACCTTCAAGAAGTGATTTGTCAATTCTGGTGGCTCACAATGATGATCCAACAGGTAATATTAGTATACATTTAGATAACGACATGATTTTTGATTGCAATTTAGTGTAATAAGCATGATTGAATTTTTCAAAGACAATAAAATTGCACATCTAAAGGGTGAGTGCAATTTGTAGTCTTTGAAAAATTTACAAGTGCTTATCACACCAAATTGCAAGAGAAATCATGTTATTACTTCCTAATAATTCAGGGCGTGAAATTGCGCCTAATACAGGCGCCAATGCGACTAAATTTTTCACTTTGGCGACCAAATCCTGAAAGTTAGTCACCAAATTGGCGACTAGAATGTTTCATCATAACCTTACCAAGAGATATAGAGAATTTAAAAAATTTGCAAAGATAAATCTGCGGCAAACTTCCTCGTTAAGTTTGTTTCCAAAACGTAGCACATGCATCTCAATCGATAACTAGACGCCATCTTGGATTTAGATAAGCCTGAATGTTGTATATCATCCATCCTAGTGTCCACTTTGTAGCATATTAAAGATCTTTTCCCTAACTTAATTTTGGAGGGTCTATCTTGAACGCTGACAGCGTAAAGAAAGATTTTGTTTGTCTTTGAAAATGGCGACCAACTTTTTTTTAATTGGCCACCACTTTGAAGAATTTAGGAGCCAAGTGGCTATCAGAAAAAAAAGTTAATTTCACGCCCTGTAATTAACATAAAAGAACATCACAGAAAGGCAAGAACAAGACAGACAAAATTTTGAAAGTATTACAACTTTGCCCTTGTGTTACTTGAGAATGCACTCATTTTCATCCAGTCAGATGTGTGTAATTTTTTGTTGTACATTATAAAGAGGAAAATCTCATTGATTATTTCATAATTGAGTTCTTAAAAAACTTTGTTCTCAACTTAAATCTTGTGCTTACAGACCAGATGTTTGTGTTTTTTCCTGATGAACCTAAAGTTGGGATAAAGACTATTAAACAGTAAGTTTGGTTTAACCGAAGTAAAAAAACTCCTTCAAACTGTCATACACTCAGGGCTAAAAATTGGCAGTTGCACGGTCACCAGTAATGAGTTAAAACTGACCAGGGCCACCAAAAGTTAATGTTTGAACACTGGATGTGCAACTATGCTACAGAATTTCGAAAAGTTGCAATGTAAATTATGTGATGTACAAAGTTAAAAATAAAACTCAATATGTAGTTTAATTGGACTAACTTTCTCTTTGTTTCTTTGCCTGGACTCTAAGATCATCCATTTTAGGGAATTTTTAGTTCTGAAGTGGAAAATTTTGAGCCATTTTAACAGTGATTTCACAAGCTTGTTCTTTCCTTTTAGTCAATGCTACGTTAAAAGCCATGGGGTGTTTACTCAAGTTTTTCATTTTAAACTAGAGGAAATTGAGGGCTACTTCATTTTGGGATGGGTCACCAAGAATTCAAGGAAACTGGTCTGACTGGCCACCAAGCACTGGAGTTAATTTTTAGTTCTGTACACTTGGTTTACAAAAACAACTACATTATTGTTTATAACTTTATTGTTCCCAAGATCTAATTTTTCATTCTCCCTTCAAGCTGCTTCAGATTTCCTTGTTAATTAGTTACAAAAATTTAGTGTTAGATCAAGGTAAAAAGTTCTAAGTGATAACTTTGAGTATTCTCATTACCAGTTTGCAGGATAATGTAGAGATATACTAGGGAGAATTTATGTCTTGGTCGCTTTTAGATTTAAAGGGTAAATTCATACTACTTGTAATCAAACCAGGTAAAACTTCTGGGAAATGAATTTAGGTCTGTGTTTGAAAGCTTACTGTCATGGCTTGCTTGACTGTTTTGTGTTTATGACATTAAACATCTGTATTTCATGTAATATTTCCTTACATTTTTCTGTGTATTGTGAGCTGTGAATGCAATTAAGAGTGTTGTTTTAACTCTTCCACTCCCAGGAGTGACAAAAAGGGTATTTCTCCTTACAACTTTAATGCATTTACAGGCAGAAAGGTTATAAGAAGTTAGAAGAATATCAGTTTGAGGATGTTCTTGGAGTCAATTCCAAATTCCCAGACCTAAAATGATAAGAAATGCATGTTAGATAAGGCAGAGAGCTGATAAATACATGTAGCGTGGGAACTGAAATATTTGAGACACAATTTTTAAATTTCATTACAGATATTGTAACAGAATGCAAGAGGAAAACATTAACAGAGCAATAATAGTTGTACAGATGGGAATGACACCTTCAGCCAAACAGGTTAGAAAATTAGAATCAGTGATGACAGGAGCTCATTACCTGGAGCCTCCATATCAATTGTACCCTTGAGTCAACTCTGTCCTGTATCTTTTTATTTTAAGAACTGAGGTATGTGGGGAGTTCTTTAATTTCCCATGAAAACACGCTAATGTTTGCATAAACTTTCAGCGCTTTTTGCCATTATTGAAATACTTTCACATTCTGCATGTGACGTAAACAATAGAGGACCACAGCTCTCTTATGACTGGCTATTATGTAAACACTTGCGAAAAAACCCCATGGGAGGTGCTTCTAAAGATAAAAAGATATGGGACAGGGTTGACTCAGAGGGTAAGTATGGAAGATGGAAGCTCCAAGTAATGGGCTCCTGGTGATGAGTGAGGGTGCTGCTGTGAAATAAAGAAAGAACAGCAACAACAAAATGAGAATATTTAAGTTATTGCAAGCAGGGTTCTCATTAAGTGTCAGCTGCCAGTGAAAAAATGGGCTGCCTTGATTTCTGAGCCACCTTCACTGTCGACTTGCACTTTTCAAAAAATATTGTGTTGTGAATAGTTGTGCACAGTGACATGCAATAAAATTAAGGCAAGTCACTGCTGCAAAAATTTCATGAGCAGACAACTTTCATGAGAGCCATTTTTGTATTCTACAGAAACGTATGCTTTACTTCATGTTTAACTCCCTAGTTGAGCACCATTCCAATCTCTACCTGCTGAGTGTGTGCTAGGCAACCAACTGCCTTACTACTTTGCATTTACCTCTAAAAGAATTCATAGAATGGCATTTTGGAGCCTTTGAATTTCCAAAATGATATTTTGTGAGGGAGCATGCCCCAAGATCCTGTGAAGGAGCTCTCTCGCATTGTCAGCCCTCTGGTTCATGCAACCTGTCAACTACTGCTTGACTTATTGGGAACACTGTGTTTTGTTGTGTGATAACTGGGAGATGCTCTGGCCAGATTTGCCTCTTGGCTCTGGTGCAGATTCAGCTCTTAACTTATTGTGTGACAATTTTGGCTTTGTTAAAACCAGAAACTGACCCAAAACTAACCAGGAACAACTGGGCCGAGTTTTTCAAAGCTGGGTTAAGATAACCCAGGGTTAGTGTGAAATGAAATCTTAAAGCTGTGAAAGAAAATTCATCATAATCCTTTTTGTGTCCAATTTTATGATTGGATGCTCTAAAAAGAATAAAGAAAATTATCCACCAAGGCATTTGAACAAAAGAATAAGGAAAGTTAGATTCAAATTTAACCCTGGGTTACAACTAATCCGCCTTCAGGCCTTGGAGCCCAAAGTGCTGGTTTACAATGGAACTTTTACTCTACACTGCTGTGTTATTTTATTTTAATATAATTGCAAATCAAAAGTAATTGGCAAATTTTGCAAAAATAATAACTTGTATAAATTTTTGGCAGCAAAGTATATATAGTGTATCAACACTTCACCATTTTGTTCTCCAAGGCTTTAGTCGACCTGGCACCAAAATACATCTTGGAGCAATTTATGGAGGCAGAGCTCATGGTGAACATTACAGAACACGAGGTAAGTAAGATCATAATTCCAAGTCCTTGGAATTAAAAAGACAAATACTAAGTTTGATGACAATTTTAGTGAAAACCTTAGAGAACTGGGCACACTGGAATTATACCAATACACTTTTGAATAAGAAGATAATGAAGATAAAGGAAGTATCACCCATAAAATATTTTGTGATCTAACAGCAAGATAGTAGCGGAGCTCGCAGAGCGTAGTCCCATAATTATACAAAATAGTAGTAACCCATCAAGCCGAAAAAATTTGGATGTACGACCGTACGACCGTACAAGGTGCTAGTTTTAACATGCGTGGTCAACTGTTAGGTCACGGCTTTGTTCAGTAGTCCAGTGGTCAGTGCACTGGGCTCCGAGTCGGACGACCCGGGTTCTAGTCCTGGCTCGGGCAAAGCGTTGTTCCCTTGAGACGTGCGGGAAAAAAAAATGGAAGCTCCGCTTTTAGGCTTGGCTAAATCTATATATTAGGGCAGATATTGTGGAAAATTTACTTTTAGATCTATGGAAGAAAAGTGGCCAAAGTTAAGATCCACACGACTTCCAAAAAAAAAAAAACTTGAAAAAAAAGAAAAACGACTCTCGTTATTCCCTTTTTCTTTCTCTTTCAGCTTGTTCCAGAACATGTCCTCATGACGCCAGAGGAAAAGACAGAGCTGCTTCAGAGATAGTATCCTTGACTGAACCCGCAAACTCTCAGAGGTTTCTACGTAGAATATCCAGACATTATCCAGCAAACAAGTAATATTAATACTCAAACTTATGAGGGAAAAGTTGTTCGCTTGATCTAACACCAAATTCTTGCTACTAATTTACTGGGAAATGTTTAGCCGCTAGTGGGGAGAGTTAACAACCAGATCTTGGGTGTTGAAGGGTTATGAGCAGTTGTATTGTCAAGGGGCAGTGCTTACTGTAAATGTGTCGAGTTTGTCAGCTACATGTCTGTTGTACCTGATACCTGAAATAAAACTTTTTCGATGTTTGTTTGTTTTTGCGTGGGCTACACACCCTTAACAATACTTGTAGCAAACTGAAGGAACATCAACTTCCTCGTATCCAGTCAGGCGATCCAGTTGCGCGATATTTTGGACTCAAAAGAGGACAGGTGAGCTGGACACTAGTCTCCTCTGTATGATTCACCCTCACGCATGATAATTTTTTTTCATTTGGTCGCGTCTGGAGCCCATCATTGATGTGATGGGCTCCTGGTCGCGTGGAAAATGCTTTCTTTGGACAGTCGTTTAGCTGAAGGGGATCTGGTGACGGGAAAGAACCGATTTGCGTTCGTAAAGTTACGGTGGGTGAGCCCAAAAAATTCGGTCACTCGTTAACCAATCACATGCAAGTGCGAACTCTCGCGAACTCTCTCCGAAAGTTGATAAGTCCTCGCAAAATACTATGGTGCCTCGTTATGCTGCTGAGAAAGTCCGGGGGTAATTATTTATTTAATTTTAGTCTGTGTCAGGAGCCCATGCGGATAAAGGGCTCCCATTTGTGAAAAGCTTTCAACTCGGTCAATGGAAAAGATCGAAAAACAGGGTGAGAGAAAATTATTATATTTATATCGTTGAAACGAAGAAAGGTGCCGCCGTTTTCCAACTTCGCCCTGTTTAGCTCGCACGGTTTTTTGATCCTCTTCAATGACCGAGAGTCTGATGAATGATATCGATTTCTCTTTCATTTCACTCCTTTTTTCCCCAGTAGAATATGAATTTCGCCTGTTATATTTCTAACTTTGGTAACCTCTCCTGACTCGTGAATTTCTTACTTCACAGGTTGTAAAGATTATTCGCCCTAGTGAAACCGCGGGTCGATACATAACCTACCGACTCGTCGTGTAATGTAAATTAAGAGTCTACAAAATCACCCTCAAGTTTCCCTCCTTACCAGACACAGCCAAGGATTGGTATGGGCAAAGCCTCATGTACTTTTAGTTCAATTTGTTCGTTTTATTTGTTCGGTCAAGTAACAAGTGCTCGCAGTCGACATTTGTTCGTTAGAGAACCGACGACAGTCCGATTCCTATTTTCCAATTAGAAAGTACGCGATCTCTCCCGAAGTTGAGCCGACAATATGTCGTCATAACGTTACGTGGAGTCGTGTATTCCGAAGAACATCGAGTCATTCTTCTCGCTGCCTCGGTGCTCGTTTCGTTGGTTCTGCTCGGTGTTGGTGAAGTTGAAACGGAGCTCGTGTAAGTCTAAAGTTTTCCTATTACTGGATGGAGTTATGTGAAGACCTTGAAGAAATTTCTCAATGAAAGCTGCTTAAAATTGTTATGGTCATCAAGTTCCATGGAGATGAAGAAGAGCGAAGGATGCTGAGTGAAGCCGAAATAAGCCGAATAAAACCGAATGAAACCGAATGAAGCTGAGTGAAATTCAGAGCAAGAAAGGACGCATTCAAACTGACCGCTAGGCTTGCGGTTTGCCTTTGAAAGGTTTTTTCCTTTAATGCGAGACTACCTCGCCGAGAATTTTTTTAAAAAATCATTAGAAGTTGGGATTGTAATTTATACAGCAAGAGGCGGAATGTTAGCGTTGTTGTTTTAAAAATAAAAGTCAACAATTTGAAGGAAAAGGTATTTTTTTTCTTTCTTTTCCTTTGTTTTTCGTTTGTTTATTACCATTAGACCAAGGAGCACTTTGCAATCCACAGTCCTGTACAGAATAGAGTAAGGGAGAACCTCCTTTGGTCTCGTGTAGGTCTAATATACACTTTACTTCTCGTACTTATGGGAGATTTTTAGCCTAGCAGTTTCTTCTCTCGTCGACCGCGTGTTTTTCGATCACATGAAAAAAGTTTTTTCCGGAAGAATAATAATGGGCTTGAGTTTCGTCGTTCTTCGCTCCCGTGGATGACTTTTTGGGATGAACGCAGGCTCATTACCCGGACAACGGCTGGTAATATAGCCTAGAAGTCAGCAAGTCCTATATGACAGAGAACAGCTTTATTACCGTCCTTACTTCGCACGAGTAACGTCTGCTTTGCACGTGATGTGTCCGTGGCAGTTGGGTTGTCGCACAACTCGCCATGCGGTTGAATAGAGCTATTTTAGTCTTCAAATACGCCGATACAGACAAATATTGTCACATACTGCTGTGTCATTTGCAGTGTAAGTCACCATTGTTATGTTACCATAATTTACTTCCAGCTTATTCTTTCACGGAAGGCGATTTTTGTAGGCACGTACTCAGAGCGAGAGACCCACAGATGCAAGGATTTGTTTTGAAAATAGTATTCGGTTCCCATAGGAATACTTCCTGTTTCAATTCTTGAAATGAAATCATCAATCCTGGGTTTAGAAGACTCAAGAGTGCTGGAGTTTGTATTTGGTAGAAAAGGAAGGGGCTTATTAAATCATAAGGTTTCTTCGTGGCGTAAGATTACATTTGGGAAATTAATCTTGGGTTCCCTTGATGCTCTGGTGTTTGTTTCAGTGTTGGATAGTTATTCCACTCATTTGTAACAAGTCGCCAATATCGTGGAATATCACTGAATGAAAGAACGCATTGAAGCGAAAAGACGCAAACAACTGGACAATTATCAGTATCAATTTTTGTAAAACAATTTTAATTTTAACACTCTAAAGGTTACACTGCCTAGCTAAAACGGTAAACAGCCAACCCAAGTAACATTTTGTCTCTATTTCCAGTTTAGAGGCGAAGTGAAGCGGAGGAGGAAAAATTAATAGATTCTACCATGTTAATGTACAATTTCGTTTCCTTTGTCGCCTATCAAAAAAGCGATAATATCTCATCTCTCAAAAGCTCAAATTCTCTGAATTTTCATTTCATAAATAATTTATAATATTTCAGACTTTGTTCCGTGTGAAATTAACCGAATGTTTCTTTGACTAGCTGCATAAGCTTTTTCTTTCCTTTGTACAAAACTTTCATATTGTTTATGAGCGCGTTGAAGCGTCCATTTCCGTCAGAAGCTAAAAGAAAAGTTTCCTGTGCTTTGCTGAGGAATGTGATGAAGTCCATATAATGCTTGGGACTAATGTGGTTCAGTCTGCTATGTGCAGTGTTCACATATGCGCTAATGGTTCCCTCCAAAAGCTGCCTCAAAGGTTCTTCTTCGCAGGTCACCCTGCTATTGTCCTTAATGTAATATTGCCCATTCTGGGCCTCCTCCGCAGCGGCCTTTGCAAGGGTGCACCGGAAAAGCAAATCTGATAGCACCGTTGGACAGTGTACTGCTTTGACGATGAGTGGAATGATCTGTGTGAGTTCGTTGTAGCCAAGAGCTTGGGACAGAGCGCATGCCCAGTGAATGTCTCCGATAGATGGGTGGCTGTCTTGGTTGTAAGCGAGGGTGAAGTGTTTCATGGCAAGAGTGGCAAGTTTGAAAGCTCTCTGAGGATAGCCGCGGTAGTCCATGTAGCGCGCAATGGCGAAGAGTTGTGTCGGTGGAATCACGGCGGCCGACTCTACAACTAAGCGATAAGCTGTCTCAAAGGCAGCAGGGTTTTTCTCGCAGAGCGTTAACGTAGAAAGGCAGCAGCGCTGTGGGTCTCGGCTGGCGCACTGCAGAGCCAAGGCTCGAGCACAACACATAAGCGCTTCTTTCTCGATCACTGTTAGCTCAAGACGCGCCGCCGTGGAAGGTGCCATCACGGCAGTAGCCACCTGAGATGTGGCTTCTGTTGGAGTGAACAGCGTGCTCCAGCTCTTCATGATGTGGCTGAGAGCAGATGTGCCAGATTCCACGGCGCATTCTATGACCCACTGCACCATGTCACGCCGCCTCCAGTTGTGAGCATTCAGCGTCATCTGTAGCACTTTGAGACCCAGTTCCATCGCAAAGTGAAGCATGTCAGGGTCGCGTGTTTCTGACGCCTGATCAGTGGACAGTTTGAAAGCGTCTTGCGCCAGACGAAATAGCTGAGTTGCAGAGTGTACGTGCTGTTGTGAGGCTTGTAGAATGGCTGGTAGACGTTCAGAAGAGTCCTTCGCAGCATTAAGTAGGCGCGATGCTAGCTCACACTGCTGAGATTGCAAGTGTCCTAGAGTGTACAATCGAGTGGACCTAGCATGGCCCACCACGGGTATCTCCTCGTCCGCAATGTCACCTGGGAAGTCATCCAACGCTAAGAAACGCATTGCGCGGAGGCCAAGATCAAAGGCAAGATGTAAATCCTTTTGCATCAAGTTGCTAAATAAAAATCGTGCAAACGTGTGCATGGGAATGCTGTTTTTCTGCACTCCAAGTCCTAGGCTACTGAATGGCCCACTCTTCAGTAGAAGTTCAGTTTGTGTTTTGAGGACAGGATACAGAACATTGTCAAAAGTTAGAAGGTTCAGCTGTGCGATGAGATGTTCCTCTTGACGACAAGCTTTGTCCTGCGCGTAGAATCCCACGGGGATAGATCGTTGCTGTCCCAGCCCCATGAGGGCCACTTCAAGAGCTAATGTTAAGAAGGTGTCATTTCCGTTTCCACATTCTGGAAGAGGAACGTTTGTAACGTTTTTAACTTCATTACATTCTGTACTGCCTTCAAACTCTGATTCACTATCTTGAGGCCCGATGGCTTCCTCGATAAGAGTGTCATACAGTACAACAATTGGATCGAGCTGATGTCCAATCCATCCCTCTATAAATCCATCTCTTTCTGTACTTTCATCGCAAAGTTTCTCCGCAATGTCGTCCTCGCTGAACTTCTCCAACAAAGCTTCCATTTCGTAAACTTTCTCCAACTGCTCCTCTTTCATACCTCGTGCTACAGCGACAGCCAATCGCAAGGCTTCTTGAGGATAGCCATGCGCTCGTAGGGCATCTACACGTGCGGCTGCCATAGGAACGTCCTCTGTTGACGCAGAAAAACAAAGACTTGTGTTAGTTTACATCAGGCGTAAAAACATACTCCAAACTTTAGGATATTCCTTTTCCTTTGCATTCCTTGTGTAAGACTATTCATAAACCCATGTTCTCAACACAATTCTGTATACTTTTCCAAAGGTGACGACAAGGACAATTTGTTTAACAATCAAAAGCATCTCTTGTTGGTGATCATTACCTTTATTCTCGTGACCTTAATGTGTGATTCAGAAAATTAAACTTATGGACCTATGTTTTTCTACTTTAATCAAACAATCCTCACCTTTCCATGTTAGGCATTCAATATCTTTATCTTGGCCTTCGCGTCCAATGAGGCATCTTAAAATGTAGTCTTCCCAGTCCAAATCACAAGCGTGCATTGCCCTAGAAAACACGGTACGGCGCGTGCACATTTCGTCGGAAACATTGTCAATCTCGTCTGCGAGTTGAGCATCTGGATTTTCCAACGGGCAAACTTCTTGCCGGCTCCATGTTTCTAGTTGTTGTTTCCATGCGGCTTTTTCCGCACAAGTGCTGTCTGGGTTCAACACTACGCACACCCACAATGCACCGAGTTGATCCCACAACTGTCGACACTTATCATTCATCGAAGTGCCTTGTTCTTTCCAAATTTGTAGTCGAGGGTCAGCTAAAAACTGCTCTGTGATGAGTCTGAGCATGCGTGAGCCATTATTGTCATGGACACGAAGCATTTCTCGTACCTGTGGGGTATTAAAGGTCATCATTAGAAGATGTTAGTGTCCAAGGATGTGAATTTTTAAAAAAGCTTTTGCAATGTTCAGGCGCTGAAAACGAGGAGAAAAGTTGTCATGGACAGCGAGAGATAATAGTAACAGAGACGTGACTTCAGCAGATGTTTTTGTTGTTGTTAACTTGATTAATATTTCAGGTTTATTTGTGTTTGTTTTTATTTTAAAGATATTTGTGTTCAGTGAAACAATCAGTACTGTTTCCTACCTTAGCAAACATCGATAGAAGGTGTTTTCCGCTTCCATAATACCCTCCTTGAGACAAATAATTTCTAACTTGTTGCCTAACTTGTTCTGCATCTAAATGCCAGCAACTTTCATCATCCGCTCCAGCGCCTGCGGTTGGATCAGGAGCGCCTGGTAAACGGTTTATCTCTGAAGTTTTGAGCAGAATCTCGTCGGCCAATCGCTGAGCAGTCGGCAAAACTTCGGTGTGATGCTCAGTTATGAGATACTGTAACAGTTTCTGAAGTTGTTCGCGATTCATTTGAAGTAATGTCTCTGAGATTGGTACCCTTAAAGTGACTTTTTCTGGGTTGCGAATTCTGTACAGCGCAAGCGCAACGACGTGAGGACACCAGAGAATGTCTTTGTTACCACAAGTGCAGGACACTTCGGTTATTTTACATCTATCGAAACCAACTGACACATTATATTCTTCTTTTTGAGCGCCATACTTTGTGTCTTCCTCCTCAACGACTTTTCCACTCAGTTGAAAACCTGAAACGCGACAATCATACCAAGCGAGTTAAAATAAACTCCCGAGAAGGCTTTCCTAATGGAAAATATTGGTTTGATTGGAACAGACCTATTTTCTACAGCGATATAAATCGTCTATTGTTTGTCTGGGTTAATTGTTTCTTTGACGTATTTTGCTTCTCTTTGTTAGAATGCAATTATGATATGATTAATCCACTGAAAGACTTCATTTTCATCCTAGCCATCTTTAAGCGCCTTAGACAAGAAAGTGTACCGTCT